GGCCTCCTGCCTCCTCGTTCCGGGCCCTGGGAGTCTCCGCCCCCATCCCCCCCCCCCCCCCCCCCGCCAGATGAGCCCTCCGCTCTCGGGCCTGTTTCCGCTCACCTCGAGCCCTAGACTTTCTCCTCTACAGCGCCCCCCGTAGGACTCCGATCACTGACCTGGGCCGGTGGCCGGTGGAGTAGCCCCCTGGCTACCCACCTCTTGGACAGCCCCTTTGCCGCAATATCCTTGGTCTGCAAGGTCCACGCGCTCCCCCTCCGGGCCGCAATTCGGCTGGGGCTGGGCCTGCAGAGGCGCCCAACAGCGTGGTCAGCCTAGCGACCCCTCCTTCCTTACTCCAAGTGCTTGGCACAGACTAGCAGAGAAGCCGACAGCAATCAAATAATTACACAAATAATTAATTGAGTGCATTTGTCCTGAGTGCTATTAAGCAAAAATACAGGGCTCCCACGCCATTGTTTAGCAGGGATGGCTGGGAGCTAATTTAGTCCAAGCAATGGGGTAGACTTCCCTCAGAAAGTGGCTGGGGGATCTTGATAGAGCGCACATATGGAGAAGAGGTAGTGATATAAAGAGAGAAGCAGCATTTTATGATTGCTTCCAGGGGTATGCCTTATTTACATCATGTGTAGTGTACATTGTGTGTGCACTTTTCGATAATGCATGGTATTTTTTTTTTCTTCCTGTGGGCGCTTCACTGGTGTTTATAAAGCACCTGTCCAGGCTTTACCCTCTCAGCTCCTCGCCCAGCTTTCTGCAGGGAGCAGCCAGGAGACTGCTCGCTCCAGCTGCAAGGGCTTCAGGGTCACAGCGCCAGGTCCCGCACTGTGTGACCCTGTGCACCCACCCACTGTCTGATTTGCAATCTGCTTAGCAGTTTCATGGGTCAGATCAGTGGTTTGCACCCATCAGTCAGGAATCCTATGAAGTCCCGAGGTAAGGTTCCCAACAGACTTGCAAAATTAAAATACAAAATACAGACAATGAGGGGAGTTTTTTTTAATTAGTTATTTAAGAGAACTATCATCTATTCTAAGATAATGACTTACTTTTCTATACTAACGTATCCTTTATTTTGTGAAATTATTATTTTTTTCTCTTAATGTCTTTAATTAGCATTTGGGTAACCCAGGGATTTAAGGTCCCCAAGACAGGACCCACTAGCCACAGCATGCTTTCAGCTTCCAGAACTCCCCTGTCAGACAGGACTTCGGAGCTCAGTGACCCCTTGCCCTCCTCCTGTAGGGTCCAGTCGCCGCTACCAGGTGAACGCTGTCCACACCAGCAAGGCCTGCAATGTTATCAGCAAGTTCACAGCCTTCGTGCCCGTGGACGTGAGCAAGGGCCGGTATCTGCCCACCGTGGTGGGGTACCCGAGCTCAGGTAAGGCACGGGGTGGCTGGGCAACCCTGACAGCTGCGAAGGACCCCATGGTCTGGAGAAGAGGCTAGGATACAAGGCGGGGTGGAAGCAAGAAAGCCCCCCTCAAGTCAGTGTAATCACCATAGGGTAAGAGACACATGGACTCCCAGCCCTCCCTTTTCCCCACCAAATAAAAATAACTGTATTTTTTCCAACAAAGGCAATGATAAGTGGTGCTCCCTGTAGAAAATTATAACATATAGAAAGATATAAATAAATGAAAATGACAGGACTAACAGTCATCTAAAATGAGCACCCACCGGTTATCTCCTCGGTTACCCATGCTTCTAGATTCAACTCAATGAATATCTGTGTGTTGAGAGATCAAGACAGTGTGTTACATGCATGGGAACATAACATCATGTGCTATAGTTTACAAAATACAAATATGTAAAAGTCTATCCTTGAAGTGAATCTATATCCTTTAATAGCTGTGGTGTGCAATACAATGCTACTTTTTAAGGGACAGCTTGCAGACAGTGTTTTCTGAGGCTGAGGTTCCCTAAACACACTCTGAGGGATTTGGCTTCATCTCTCTTCCAACCGTGCCCATCAGCAATGCGCTGGGACTTCAGGGCCCTGCCCTGTGGGAGGAGGAGCCAGGACATGGGTCATTGTGACATCAATCAGAGAGAAGGACACGGTCTTCCCGAGAAAAACAGGCTTTTAACTAACTAGAAAACACTGCTGCTTCCTACACAACATCTCAGAAGTGGCAAGATAGGGGTTCTTATCCTCATTCTCCAGATAGGGTAACTAACTGGAGTGGTTCACATCCCTTTTAGCTAGTAAGAGAGGGAGCTAAGGCTGAAATCTGGATCCCTGTGACTCCAAAGTTCATGGCGTTATCTTGGGAGAATTAGAAGCCTAAAGTCGGAGTGATTCCCACCAACTCCGGGGAAGTGACAGGACTCTGCAACACCTAATTCCTTCACTTTGTCCTCCATGAAGGTGTCATACATTGGACGGTCAGCTCCCGGACCCTGACCCGACAGTGCAGGGGCACCTCTGCTGGCTTTGGGTGGCCCCAGACCATACCCGGAGATGACTCAGCTGCAGGAGATAGCACATTTCAGACCCTAAGTAAGAGCTTCTTCGGGAGTGTTCAGAAGCCTTAGCCCCTGAAATTACTGCCCCCTCCTGCCCAAAGCCCCAGAGGTCCCTCTGTGACTCCCCTCAGCAGGACCAGGACAAGGACAGGCCTCCTAGGCTTTCTGAGGTTTAAGGTGATCGGGAGGCTCCTTGTGGCTCATGACCATGGTGATTAACATGGTCTCTCTAGGCAGAGGGGGCTGCTAGAAGCAGGGGGCAGTGGGGTCACCCTGCCTGTCCTCCCTGCACACCTCCTGTTCTGATGCCTGCTGCCCTAGTGACTGTTCCCACCCTCCAGGCTCTGCGTCCTTCCAGGCTCCAAATGCCGGCAAAGCTAATAAACATGGGGGAAAAAAGCAAGGAGCAGAAAGGCAGGTCCTCTATTTGGGTCCAGCATCTGTTTCTCTCAGGGTTCCCAACAGCTTCCCCTTGGCCCTCACCTGATTTCACTGTGCCTGCAGCTTAAATCAAGATTCATGATTTGCCCTTTGTGTGACCGTGCACTAATTTACAGGATGGTTACCGTGCATCCTGCGTGTATGCATGTCTTCCTGGCTCTCCAAAGGCAGCCTACGTGCTGCACTGGTCCTGACCCCTTCCTCGGTGCCTCGCTGGCCTGGTGAAAATGCCGTGCCCTCTGCTGGGCATGGGGAGGACACTGGGGATCCCTCCTGACCTCCAGCCCAGCCCCCCACACCTTAACAATGTTTTATCCAAGAGACTAGGAAGTGCTCGCAGAGGTTTGATGGGTAGAAAAGAAACTCTCTGGGAGGCGATGGACACCCAGAGTTTCTCTTCGAAATAAAGGAGTTCTGCCAACCCCTTGGTCCCATTGGCTTCCAGACCCCAGGGAAACCTAAGCCACATTGAGCTTCCCAGGAATTTCCCACCCACCCCTTCCTTCTCCCAAGCTCAGCTCTTGGGGACCTGTGGCATCCATCAGAGTCACTTCTTAGGGCTGGGGATGGAGCCCAGTCATGCCAAGCCTGCCTCACAAGCACAAGGTCTTGAGTTGGATCACTGGTACCAAAGCAAAACAAAACAGCAAAATTACTTCCTTACCAGCGTCTCTTTTTTATTTTTTTATTTTTATTATTTTGGTACCAAGATTTGAACTCAGGACCTTGCACTTGCCAGGCAGGCACTGTGCTGCTGGGCTATATTCCCTTTACCAGTGTCCTTTGATTCACACCCAAGTGGATCTGACTTCTAAACTATTGTCCTACTCCACACCCTTCCCTCCCTAAGGCAGATGTGGCCAACACAGTTTTCTCTGTGCTGGGCACTGTTCTAATCATTTGCAAACATCTTGAGCATTTTTTTTTATGGTTCCCAATTAAAAGTGAGGCACCTGGGACTCCGAGGAGTTAGGTGAATGGCAAATATAAGAGTAATCACCTTGATTATGCACTCTGAACATACGATATGCAATTATGATCCCCATTCTGCAGATGGAACCTGGGGGAACCTGGGGAAACGGGGGCTCAGAGCCCGCCCACGAGGCAGTGCCATGTTCTAGTGCCCAGGGACAGTTGGCGCGAGCCATCTCTTCAGTGAGGCAGTGACCTGGGGAGGAGATGCCTCACCCTCCCCCCAGAACCTACCCCACCCTGAAGCCCCTGACCTGTGTCTGTCTCCCTGCGGCCTCTGCAGTTGTGGGTTTTATTGAACACTTAGCTGAACGCTATGTATTATCTCTCTTAATCCTTGCAAGAATAACTGTGACATAAGTACCATTAGCCCCACTTCTGCAATCAAAACTTATAAAGAAAATAACCCTGCCAGGGCCCAGAGCTAGTCAGTTGGTGGGGGAGTTGGGAATTGAACCCAGGCGTGGGCGGGGAGGAAAGGGGGTCCAGGAGAGGTTGGGCCTCACGGGCTTTCTGTGTTGTAGCCACAGAGGAAAGCCTGAGCTCACCCTTCAGCGAGGTCCCGTCCCCCAGCCGAGAGAAGCACACAGCTTCAGAAGGTGAGTGGCAGCCGGCGCAGTATCTCTTAACGAAGTTGGTGGGTGGTATTGGTCCTGGCGTCGAGTGTCTGAGCACCAACAAGGCTCTGAGTTTCACCGATGCCTCCGAACAGCCGTATGAGAGGTAAAGAGGGTCGCCCCGGTTTAAAGAAGGGGAAACCAAGGCTTGAAGAGGAGTGATTTGCCAAACATCACACAGCGAGTTAGTGACAGCCAGGTCTCCCAAGTGCAGCTGAGAGGTCACTGAGCCACCCCAGTCTGCCCCGCATCCTCCAGCAGCACCAGGGGGACAACTCAATGTCCCCATTTGGGGAGGAAGGGGGTGGATGTAATGTTGTCACTTCCCCCCATAAGTGGCCTCCCGGAAGATGCCAGTGGCCACCTGCCAAGGACGCATGGAGGCCAGTTTCTTACATATTTTGCCCTTCCCTATACCAAGTGAGTCAGAAACAGCGCTGCAGCTGGTTAGTCCAGGTCTCTAGGGCCATAAGTGTACAGGAAGCCCCTGCCTCACTAAGGGCCTGTTTCCCTGGCTAGGTAGTGAGCAGTTAAACCGGTCACCTGTCAGGCCTCACTCTGTTGTTCGGTGGCCTCCAGGTCCCTGGCACAGCCTGCCCACCAACACCCTTCCCTCCATGAAGGCCTCGGAGACTCTCTTTGGATCCAAGTAAGTGGGATTTCCAGGGAGGGCACGGTGCTCTGCTGCCTCTCCTCTTCCTGTTGTCCCAGCTGGGAAGCCAAAGGCAGGCCCAGCCCGGACTTGAGATGGTGTCACTGCCTGACCTGTACACACTCTAGTTTGCGTCACACGGTTCCGTGGTCTCTTCAGACACAAATGCTCTGGGAAGCCTGTTCCAGGACTCTTCCCATCGCTGGGCTGGAAAGGGTTACAGCGTCAAAAAGCGGAACGAGCCCATGCCTTGTCCTGCCTCCTGGCGGCAGATGCCAGCCTCTCTCCTCAGGCCTCCATTTCTCCAGCCACCCAGGGAGGAGGTGGGGGAGGCCCTCTGTTGCATCCTTCTAAACCTGACTTCTGGGAGCTCCTAGGGAGCTGGGATGACAAGGGACACTTGACTCCACCCTCACAGGCTGAATTTTAACAAGTCCAGGCTGCTGACTCGAGCAGCGAAGGGCTTCCTGGGCAAGCCGCTGGTCAAAGCCGCAGAGTCCGCCTCGGGGAGCCAGAGCTTTGACTATGTCCCTCTGGTGAGTGCCCCAGACCACACCCACTCTCCTGGGCAGCCAGGCCTTCCGGGGGACCCCTGCCTTAAGTGTAGGTTCCCTAGCTTCTGGGGCTCTCGAAGCTTCACACCCAAGCAGCCAGCAGGGCAGCGGAAGTTGGCCTGAGTTCCCTATCCAGAGGACTAGGGGTGTTGCTAGGAGCCCACGTCAGCGTCACAAAACCGCTGTACAATCTGCTGTCTCCCCCTTAAAAATTCCTAGGAATTTTGCATTCGACTCCACCATCTCCGTGTGTCTGTTTTTCAGCACATAAAAATAAGCCTTGAAATGACTCACAAGTGAGTGAAATTAACACCCCAGGGCCAAGCACCATGTTTAGCAAGTGGCTTTGCAGACGCCCCAGCACACTGTGGTAGGAGAGAAGTGAAGGAGGTCTGGAGTGGGCTTTTGTGAACTGAGAACAAAACAGAGGGTTCCTGCAGCAGCTAGGGGCTTCCAGGGCTTAGAAATCACAGGGTGCCCGAAGGAGGAGCACGGCTTTCACCTCACTGTACCCGAGTACAGAGTGTCATTTTGAATCCCCATATCCAGGACAACAGAGCACAATGCATGTATTTGCTCAGTAAATATTTATGGAGTCAAGCTCAGGGCTCGACTCAGGGAGACATCTTTGAACGAGAGAAATGTAATCCCTGAACTGTGGTGCTGGGTGTCCAGTGGGAACGGACAAGGAACAAGGCAATTCTATGCTTGGATTCCGTGAGAGGGGAGGTTGGTTTGGGGAGGGAAAGCAGGATGGCCCCAGACTTGATGTGGAACCAGCAGTAGCATCAGCCATGACTTCCTGAAGGAGGTAACAGTGAAGCCAAGACCTGCAAGGTGAGGAACCAGAAAGGAGAGGAAGTGAAGCGGGAGGAACTAGAAAGCTTGGTGGCTGGAGTTTCAGTTTGAGGAGTAAGACCGTAGGCTCTGGATTGTGCAAGGATTTATAAATTGGGCTCTGGACTTAGATCCTGAGAGATAGTGGAAGGGATTGAGCAGGGGAGACGTGGAAAGAGAGGCAGGGATAGCGTGAGGAGGATGCGGGCAGTGGACTGCCCAGGGTGAAGGGGAGGTTTGGAGCAAAGATACTGAGCTGAGCTTGGAGCGTGATCCATGAGGAGGGCCTGCAGGAGAAAGACCAGGGAGGGTCCTTGGCCTGTGTATCCAGAAGGTCCCCCAGGCGGGCAGTCGGGGTGGAGATGAGGCGTGGGCTATGTGGATCAGGGTTTCTGCATGGCCTGGGGCTCCATGGGCCAAGACGTGAGGCCCACTGAGGGGCTCCCCCACACACAGGTGTCTCTGCAGCTGGCCTCCGGTGCCTTTGTGCTCAACCAAGCCTTCTGCGAGGCCATCCACATCCCCATGGAGAAGCTCAAGCGGACCTCGCCCTTCTCTTGCCACCGAGTGTCCCTCTCGGCCCGCCAGCTGGGCACCAGCCTCTCACCTCCGCAGCTGTCCTGCAACAGCAACTCCCTGGAGCCCCCAGCTGAGGGCAGGCCAGGCTCAGAGCCCAGAGCACTGGTGGAGCACACGGGAAAGCTGTGGGCCACCGTGGTGGGGCTGGCCTGGCTGGAGCACAGCTCAGCCTCCTACTTCATTGAGTGGGAGCTGGTGGCCGCCAAGGCCAGCTCTTGGCTGGAGCAGCAGGAAGTGCCTGAGAGCCACACACAGAGCACGCTGAAGGCTGCTGCCCGCCAGCTATTTGTGCTTCTGAGGCACTGGGATGAGAACCTGGAGTTCAATATGCTTTGCTATAACCCGAATTATGTGTAGAGGGGAGCAGGTTGCTAGGGAAGAGGGATGGGCCATTTTGGCCTGGAGGGGGAACCTTTTTGAAGCTGTAGCCAATATACTGATTGCTAGTAAGAGCCCTGGACTGGCAGCTGGGAGGCCTGAGTTCCATCCCAACTTTGCTACCACCTAGCTGTGCAACTTTAGGACAGTCCCTGTCCCTGTCCGGGCCCAAGCATCCTCATCTATAAAATAAAAGGGTGAGATGAGGCAGTAGGGCTCGATCTTTAAATGGTTCAAATGTTCCTTTCTGCCCAGACTTTTGGGCAATCCTGGGCTGTAATGCTACTAGGGGATAGTGACAGAAAATACAACTATGCCTGAGTTCCCTCTGGAGGAAGACCATGAGGGCACGGAGTAGAAAGAGCAGTCCCCCTTCTAACCCCAGTGAAAGGGCAGATGAGAGAACCCAGTGATTAAAGGAATCAGACCTACAAGCCTCCATCCAGGCACCGAGAGACCTCCTCTGTCTGTTACACTGGGAATGGGCTCTTGTCTCCAAGGTGACAGTCTAGGACCCCCCCCCCACTTCCCACTTCCAAGCCAGCTGGTGAACCATCCTCCCCAGCACTTTCCACAGTGACTTGAGGGCCTTTCCCTGGGCAAGGAGACTTTTTAGTTCTGGTTTGCAGATTTCTGGGGCTTCCTGTCTAAGGAGAGCTGGAGGGCAGAGCCCAGGGAGATAGAGACCTCACAACCCTAAGTATTAGATTGAAGCTTCAGTCTGTGCGAAACAATCCAAAGAATAGACATGCTCACAGAGGTCAAGGGAGAAAGCAGATGATACTTGAAATAGCATACGTACTTTCAGAAGTTGGATAAAGCGGACACCATGTGCTTGCATTGAGAGGCAAGAGAGGCGCTTTCATGGGCACTGCATTCTGGGATAGTGGGGATGTGGGAGAGAGAGAGGATACCTTTGCACAGAAAACCACGCTTGGCTGAAGTGCAGTTGGGGATGGTAGCTTCAGGTAAGCGGCGTGATTGGTTTGGAGAAATGAAAGGGTCGTGAAGCATCAAAGCAGGAATGCCAGGGGATCCCTCACCCCAAGCCCACGACATGGATTGGAATGCCCAGCCTCTGGTTCCCTTATGACTAGGGTCAAATTGCCATTGCCCCCACAGACTCCCCAGAGATGGGTCTGGGCCCCCAGGCCGAACTGATACACCCCTAAAGCCCTCTTTCCAAGGCCTTAGCCTCTCCTCGTCAAATTCACTTCCCAGGAATGGTCCCCAGGACCTTGGCATGAAGCCCACAGACATTCCTTTTGGTGGGTAGGTGTGGCTCTGGCACAAGTTCCAGCCTCATGAAGACTCAAAGAACGTCCAGTCTACAGTAGGGGCCAGAGGAAGGGAGGGGCTCCCGCAGACTGCAGCAGGTGTGACTGACAGGACGTGGTGCCCTGGCCCTGCCCCTGCCCCATCCTGCCCTCCCACAAAGATGCAGCATCTCCCAACGGGGAACTTGCTGCCCTGCAGCCCTTGGTGATCACTGCTTTGCTGTCTGGCTCTGCTCCACATTCGCCCTGTGGGAGGAACCCAGCTAGGCAGTCCCTGACACTGTACCATTATGACTCCAGCGGAACAGGATGCCAGGATGGGGTGTGGGCTCAACATCAGTGCCACCAAGGAAGACAAGAGCTTTAGGCTGTCTTTCTCGAGGCCCCAAAGAGGCGTAAGGAGCGCAGTGCCAACTCCCTGTGCTCCTCCCTCCCCACCATGAAAACAACACTTCTTTAGCTATGAAGCCTGTAGCTCTAGCTTCAGGGCAAGGACAGAGGGGGCGACATTCACTTCCTAGCTCACCACTAAGGGAAAAATTGTCAGGCTTCAAATCAGGACACCTGGGCTCAGGTGTCAGCCTTGATTAGCTTGGCCAATGAGTGGCTTCTCCGCGGAGTGCTCTGGAGCTGGGGGTCCACCCACCGCTCTGACGCCCCCAGATGATCAACCTGGAAGATTTTCCCTCTCCGTGAACATGGGTTTGCTCCATTTCTCCGTGTGACCTTGAACAAGTCATGTGTGCACCCGGGGCTTCTCTTCCTCCTCTAACACGAATAGGTTGTACCATGCTGTCCAGCCCCAGCCCCTGCCCGGTGTGACCGGTACATAAGATGCCTGGACAGGGTGAACCAGAAACCCAGGAAGGTGGTGAACACACCACCCTCTTCTTCGGCAAGTTCCTCGGCAGCACCCCTGCAGCAGCAGCAGGGGCTCCCTGATGTGACTCATACGTGATCGGCACCGCCCCCGGCTGCCCTGCCCAGCACCCAAGCGCAGAGGAACAAATCTTTTTTGTTTGTTTGTTTTATTTCGAGTAACCCAAGGGCTACAGAGGGGCATCTAGACAAGAGACATTTTTTCAAGAAAACTCCAGTGGTGTAGAGATGATTCGCAGTTTCAGGATTCGCTGCCAGGATTGCCAAGCAGAATCCTGGAGAGACTTGCTGGAAGGAAAGGATAAGAGCCTTGCGTAGTCAGCGCCTGCCCAGAAGACAAAGAGGTTGCAAAGGTCCTCTCATGATAAAACACAGCCAATGCGACCTGGGAGAATTTGGATTCATCTGATTTAATTTGTCCCACACCAGCTGAAGAAATGCTACTGGCCCCCTTCAGTGGAGGAAAAACTGAGCCAAGGCTTGGGGGGCCCAGGGGTCGGTGGGGTGCAGTCCCACCCCCAGCGAGCTGTGTGACTTGGTAAATCCAATGCTTCCTCTGAGGCCCTATCTCCCCCTTTGACAGAACTATGGGATTACACTCGATTCCCATTTCCAGCCCTGTTGCTCAGGTGAGATGTGAATAAAGCCACCCACCAAAACTGTCCTGTGGGCGAACAGGTGAGGAAGCAGCAGGCCAGCAGGCTTCTCTCAGGTTAGGGTGCTGTATGTGGACCCACACGCAGCTCTTCCGGAAAGTGCTGGTCTAGACCTCCCTGGGGGTTCTTTGTGCACTGGCATCCGAAAGCCTTTATGGAGCAAGTGCCAGGTTATGCTCTCTCTGCCCCTGTGGAGCCTGGCAAGAAGCATGTGAAGAGCCTTTTCCATGGGGCACTTCCCACACCTGGGGTTCCAGGTGGGTCTGTCCTGACCACTCACACTCCCAGCCCCTGGTCCCGCCATGGTGGGTGTGGCTGCAGATCGGCACTGCCTGGAGGCCCTCTGCACTAGGCCACCCGCTGAGCTCACAGACACTCGCTGATGGCTTGGGTACAGCTGGCCATAGCAGTGCATGGGGCCATCAGCAGAGCTCCCAGGTAGCCCTCCAGGGAGTCCCCAAAATGGGGTTGACCTCCTGCCGCACGAAGATTGAAGAGCCTTGTCTCAGTCCTTTCTGGATCCCAGGAAAGCTGGGCCCTGCCCTCAGGAAAACTCAGCCCCTGCTTGTAAAGAAGCTGCCTCAGTCTCAAACTTGCACCTATGTTTCCTACCCAGTCCCCTGCCTGGGGGCAAAAGGAATGGCATCCCCAGTCCTCTCTTCCTGCTGTAGCTGATGAACGGAGCAGCTGGCTCTGGTGGGTTTTCATTTGCTCGTCTTACTGTGAGAAAGCAAGGGTCCCCTCCTCCCTTCTAGCTGGCTCGCCTGTCAGTAAAGGTTTCTGAAAGTTTCTTCTACATCTTGATCACACCCAGCTAAGCTGCACCCTTACTGAAGGGCCAACTTTCTTCCTGTGTTGGCTACTGTTTCCCTCTTTCTTCCTTATCAGGGACTCCCAAGGACAAGGAGTAAGGAAAGGGTTCTCCCCCCACCTGCTAGAACTTGTGTGTCACCCAACTCTTGCCACCCCAAGTGCTGCCTATCACAACTTGGACACTGTCGCATCTCCAGGTGACCCCAGACACATATTCTGCTTCCTCAGTGCCCTGGGGAGGGAAAGGGAAAGAACTGCCACCTCTAGAATGGAGCATATTTTTATTGCCAAAGCACTTAGGAAAGGTCTTCTTTTTCCCCTTCCAAGGACTAAATAAGTCAACAACAACAAAAATGGGCGCATTCCTCAGCTGTAACATAGCACGCTCCACAATGCCAGTGTAAAAATAACTAGGGCACAGTTGTGTGTGGCCTTTGCAACTGGATGATTTGGTCCACAGAGAACTGTCCCCAGGTCAGGAGCTTGGCAGCAGGGTCCGGCCAGGCCTCCAGCCCCCTACTATGGAGTACCCTGACCCTTGTGTCCAGCCTGCCCCAGGCCACTGACAACAGCCAGTCAAGAGCACTGCCTTCCCAAGTCACCTGACAAAGGGGGGGCTTCTCCTGTATGCTGCAATTCTCCTTGGCTTGGGGCCAGCTTCCTTGAACTCACAGCTGCTTCCAAGCAAAGCGCCTTGTCTCACTGCGCTGACTGTGGCGACGTGTGTGGTATAGTTTTACTATTTGCCCAGATGGCTTTGGCTCAAGTGGCATGGCCGGTGCTTGTCCCTGTCAGAGCCTCAAGTGCCTATAACATGCTGTCCTGTCCCCTCACCTACTCACAGTAATGTCCCTACAGTGCCTGTGACGACTTGGAATATATATCACCTTCTCACCAGGTAGCCAACTATGTAAATGTTGGGGAGGGCCTGGATGTCAGCTGTCTAATGCCCACCACCCTTTGTGAAACCTGTCCTCAGGCTGGGTCTGTTCTCAAACCAATGGCTGCTTTGTATATGGTGGCTGCTGTTCTCCTGTAGGCTTTGAGCTCATAAAAACTGTCCACATGGCAAACTTATGCTTGTGTTTGCTTTTTTTGTTCTCAGAGCCCATTGATACCTGGCTCTCAGCGATTCAGGGGTCTGTTTTCCTTCCTTAGTGAGTCACATCTGTCTTGGTTTGGGTTCCTACTAAGGTGGCCGACTGTCTCAGTTTGCCTGAAACTGGGAGAGGTTGCCAAAATATAGGACTTGTGGTTTTAAAAGTGCAACAGATCTGGTCAGACTGGTACAAATTGGTCACAGCAGTGACCTTAATAGAGCCTGAGACAAGGATTCAGTGCAATGCACTTGGGAGATCCTAGGAAATAACTTTAGAGAAGTGTGGCGTGAAATAGAGATACGAAGGACGCTGATAAAGGGAAGTTACTTAGCAGGTTACTGCTAGGGCATGGACATGCATCCCCCAGGCACACTGGGAGCCAGAATAGACACAGCCATTCCTTGGTACTTCTGGTCTACCTCAGGGGCACATGCTAAACAGGTTCCTGTAGGCTGAGAAAGCCACTGGGCAAACAAACACAGGTCCTGGTGCTAGCAAAAGGAGAATATGATGCAATGTCTAACATGACTCCCCTCACCCCCTGTACCTCCTCTACACAAACAACAGAGATAAACATTTGGCCTCTTTACAGATTGGAAGTTCCAGACACACATGCTCTATATTCCAAGACCTCTGAAATAATAAAAGACCAAGAAGCATCATTGTTGGAATAGAGGCAATCTAAATGACAAAGGGTAAACTCATATTTTCTGTAGTTTTGCTTTAGTTTGAAATCAGCAAGCTGAACTGCGAAATTGATTTTTAAGTTAAAAAAAAAAAAAAGGAAAAGAAATGTGGGTACTAGCAGAGTCGGGCCCATGTGCACTGGACCAAAATAAGCCAAGTGGCCACACGAGGCACTACCAATACCTGCTACTACCTCTCTCCTGAGCCGCTTTACGCATTAAAGATTTTTCTTAGAAGTAATTAGTGGTCACTCAATATAATTATTCAAAAGTGGTCACCGGCTCGCATGTTGTCCTAGAACCCATACCGTTTGGCCCCAAAATCAAACATAAGGCTCATTTGGAAATCCTGTAGCCATCTACATTGTTTCCTCAAAGTTGATCACCCTTTTGGAGATTTCAGGGAGAACAGTTGACTAAAAACGGAATTTCCAATAGGCCAAACACTTTTCTGTGACCTGCTAACAGCCCTAACTGGAACCCCCTGAGATGCCAAAACACTAAAATTAAACAGTCAACAGAACCCTGCCCGCCAGCGTGGCCCTCACAGATGATTTCGTCACTGAGACAGAGAAGCCTTTTCTTGCAGCTCAAAGCTCAAGGGGACCCAAAGCCCCTGAACACCTCCCTCAATTATAGGAAAGGGACACACTGCCTTTGGGAGAAACATGCATTTTTGTTCTCTTCTCTCTTTGTTGGGCCTCCTGTAAAAGGCAGGGTGTGTGTGTGTGTGTGTGTGTGTGTGTGTGTGTGTGTGTGTGTGTGTTTGTGGTGTCTGTCTGTCTGTCTGTGTGTCTGTGTCCTGCTAGGATCCCCTGGGCCCTCCCACTGAGAAGATGCTGAAGAAAGCAAGTGCTCAGGGCTCTCGGGTTCTCTGAGGTTTGGGGGGCCCCTGGGTCTTCCTTTCTATGGTGCCCAGCTCCCTCTAAAAACACAAGCTCCCCTGGACTCAATGCATCTTTATCCTGGTTTGAGAAGAGAAGGAACCACCAAGTTGGGTCCGAGCTCAGCTCGTCCAAGCTCTCTAGCTCTGTCCTGAAGCCCCCACCCCCAGTGCCTTTATCTCTTCTGAGCATCACTAGGAATCTGTTGGTTATAAATCCCTCCTAGAATCTAGACCACCTGCACCCCAAATCCAGCTTCCCTAGATCCGGGGCCCTGGAGAAAGAAAGGAGCATACACCCCCTATAGTACACTGAGATTGGGTCACCTGGGCTCACACTTTCTGGGAAGAGCCTTTTCCTGGCTCAGGGGGAAGAGCGGCCCTAGGATGGTGACCAGGCCCAGCTCCTGAACCCCCTGTCAGATGGCTGGAAAGAGGTTATTCACAATGGTTTCTTCAGCCATCCTGAGATAAGCTGCTCTCAAGGTCCTAGGTCAGCCATGTGGCAGACGTGGGCCCTTTCAAGTGTTGGCCCAGTCCCTGTCCCGCTGCACTGGTGGCTTCAGCAACTGAGCTTCCCCAGATCAGGAAAGCGGGGGCCTTCTACACTGAGGGCCTTGGCACTGTAGCCCCCAGTGCTACCCTAGCTCTCCAGCAGAGGGCACTGTGGGCGTGCCCTGCCTTTTCAGCCAGGCGCAGTTGCTCAGCAGCATGTGAGGAACAGTTCGGAAAGCTATTCCTGTCCTCTGCCAACAGTCTTTCTTCTCTGATAAAAAGGAGTGCTTCGTGATGGCTAGGAAGCCCACTGAAAGGCTGTGCCGGTCACGACTCCAGCCAGGGGTCCAGATACCAGGCTGGCTCAGGGGTGACCGCAAAGGAGAAAGTGACCTCCTCCTTTTTCCTCTCCACCATACTCTCCCTCCCTATTCCTCAAACCTCAGGCAAAGCCCACTTCTGTCAGGAAGCTTTCCCAGACCTCCTTCCAGCAAGTGGCATATTAATGTGTGTGTGTGTGTGTGTGTGTGTGTGTGTGTGTGTGTGTTCTTCTCCCACATCGGACGGGAGGTTCACCAAGGG